ACCTTGAGTTTTAGAATTGTAGTTCACCTACATCCAGAAAGCACTGTGAACCCAAACAATGAAGGATCTAAATCAAACTTGGCATGAATACTCCATATGCCCAAATATGAACACAGATGAGGTTTGGGGAAAACAGGCCTTGACATTTGGGAGTTGGAGTTACTGGGATTTATAGTTCACCTACAACCAAAGAGCATTCTGAACCCCACCAACGATAGAATTGGGCCATACTTCCCATACAGAACCCCCATGACCAACAGAGAATACTGTGTATTCTGGTGGTCTTTTGCAACACCCCCTCCCCAATCCAGTCCAACTCCCTTCACCAAGGCAAGAAAACAAGCAAATCCCTCGTGACAAAGAGCCATCCAGCTATAGATATAGATAGATCGATAGATATGATTCACAACACACGCACATATGTACATGACAGCTATAGTGTCATAGGTTTGAAAGGGACCCTTAAAGAAGGGCTATTATGCGCTGCATTTTCCAGAGTAGGCAAACCAGACATTCTCAATATCAGCACTGACCAAGAAACAACAAGAAATACTGTTTACCCACAAGCATAAATTACATATATTTGAAACAAACACTTCCTCATTACTTTATTTTCCAGATCACCAGACTGGGCCACAGCAACATGTGGCAGGGGACAGCTAGTGTACTATAAAAGTTTAATGGAGATGTGACTATGGAAGTACTCATATGAGCAAATGATTTCATATAAATATCTACATTTACCTCAATGATTGTTATTCTCAGTGGATTACTTGGCAGAAACTGTAACTTTTTTTAAAAAAAGGAAAAACCTGAAAAGACTTTCTCATAACATTATTTTCCAGATCACCAGACTGGGCCACAGCAACACATGGCAGGGGACGGCTCATATAAATTAAAATAATTAAAACCATTAAAAATAAGACATAAACAACATTTAAACATTAAGACAAAGCATTAAAAACATCATAGTGTAAATATTAAAATCACTATCTCTTTTCCATAATGCAAATGAATCTCTTCTTATCAATAATTGATCACAAATTTATATTTGACACAGATATTGCACAAAATTGGAAAGTCTTAAGTGCCTTGTCATTTTCTTGGTATTTAGATAGAGGCTGGAATGCTATGAAGATGAAGAAATTAAGTGAAAAAGTAAGGATTACTAGACCCATCGTGGTGCAGTGGTTTGAACTTTGGACTACAACTCTGGAGACCAGAGTCATAGATCAATAATAATATGGAGAATAGATGTTATACAACAAAGGATTAACCATCAGATGTCAGGATAAACATTCGCTTTTCAAGATAAATCCATATTTCAGTAATTTTATTCATACAATTCTAAAGACAAAGGGATTCATACATATTTCACATGCTTCATGCTTTGCCAATGCAGTTTCTCAGGTACATGATCATATCCGTCCTTAGATTTAAGCATGTCCTTCAACTGTGAAAATAGGGTTGCTATTTTCAATACCAGTGTCTAATGCTATGCTTATGTTCTTACATGAAGAAACTGCAAGAGGAGAAAGAAACCCTGACAAAGCACAGGAATGCTTTCAAGAAAGTTATGGAGCAGATGAATACGGAGTATGAAAGCCTGAAGCTGCAACTTCAGGAGAATGAGACACATGCTCAGGTACTGTTGAAAATACCTTTCCCCCTCAGGCATTGCCTATCTTCAGTTTTTTTTAATTGTGTATTTTTTATAGTAAATAAAAACTTGTAATAGATTTTTTTTCCAAGGAGGCTGTCTGGGACAGAACTGAATTACTCAGAACAAATATGAAATTCTTATTCTTTATAATATTATTCTGACTATAAATCCTTGCAAATCTCATTGGCGTAATTAAGATGAATTTGGAGAAACCAGTCCATGCTGAAACCAGAATATTTTCTTCTGTGATTAAAGGAGACAAAAGAGAACACAAGATACCTAGGAAGCCATTGTTTTGGACTGTAATGTATTTACCATGCCAGTGTCAGCAACTTCAGCTGATTACAGGCCAATTTTTGCCCAGCCCAGAACTCATCATGCAGTTCGCACTGACTTTCATGGGAAACTGCATTGCCAGTTTTTCAAATAAATAGTTAAAACACTTTGGATCGAAAAGAAAACACTTGTTTTGAAAATTTCTTAATAATAAGCCACCAAAATATCAATACTTACACAAATGGACTGTGTGTCTATTCATGCTTCTCCTTCCTTCCTTCTCTCTCACATCTCAACTTAGTAACTTCCTGTCTGAGAACCCACAGTTCGCTATGAAGTATTACCTGGGAAATTAGGTTGAGCATTTCCAATAACATTTTTTTTTTTTGGTGTCAGGAGCGACCTGAGAAACTGCAAGTCACTTCTGGTATGAGAGAATTGGCCATCTGCAAGGACGTTGCCCAGGGGACGCCCGGATTATTTGATGTTTTATCATCCTTGTGGGAGGCTTCTCTCATGTTTCTGCATGAGGAGCTGGAGCTGATAGAGGGAGCTCATCCGCCTCTCCCCGGATTCGAACCTGCGACGTGTCGGTCTTCAGTCCTACCGGCACAGGGGTTTTACCCACTGCACCACCGGGGGCTCCTCCAATAACAATGAGGATGATAATTATGATAATGATAATAATAATAATAATAATAATAATAAACAAACAGTTGTTGCCTGCCTCTCCTAATGGCTGACGGCAAGGTACAACACAAAATATATCAGCATAAAATAACAACGAAATACATATATCAAAACACACCATTATAAAATACACCAAAACACAGGGTACAAACTGTGTGTTGATACAATGGTAGGAGAATGTCAGTTCAAAACTCATGATTCAAAGCTGGCTGGGTAGGCCTGTCGGAAGAGATGGGTCTTTAATTCTGTTTAAAATTCTGACAGCTCATTTAGCTGTTGCATCTCTTCCAGCAGGTCTTTACACAATCTTGGGGCAGCCAATGAAAAGGTCCTCTGGGTGAGAGTCACCAGTCGGGTGACCTTAGTGTCCTAAAGGGCAGATTGTGCAGAAGAAGGCAATCCTGTAGGTATATATCCTGTAAACTATGATATCAAGCCACAGTTTGATCCTGATTTTTAGGAAACACAAATTATCATTTGGAGTACATGTTCAGTTTATCGGATCAGGAAGTACTGAGTTCAGCTCTATGAGAGGAGGTAAGGAGAGAAATGGATGGATATGTTCGTGTGTCATTCCTGTTCTGACAAACCAGGGTTAGTTGGACCAGGATTGTTATCTGTGGATCAGGCCACAGAACACCATATGATGTAGTATCCATTTGATAAATGGAGGCATGCTAAACTCTGGCAACACTATAGAATGAAATTTCTTTTCATTCTTCAGCCTTCATTGGCCATATATTGAAGTCCAGAGAGCTTAATTTCAACAGTCAGAACTGACCACGGAACAACAGACTGGTTCAAGATTGGGAAAGGCGTACGGCAAGGCTGCATACTCTCACCCAACCTTTTTAACTTGTATGCAGAACACATCATGCATGTGCGGGGCTGGATGAATGCAAAGCTGGGGTGAAAATTGCTGGAAGAAACATTAACAACCTCAGATATGCAGATGACACCACTCTGATGGCCGAAAGCGAGGAGGAGCTGAGGAGCCTTCTAATCAAGGTGAAAGAAGAAAGCGCAAAAGCCGGTTTGCAGCTAAACGTCAAAAAAACCAAGATTATGGCAACAAGAATGATTGACAACTGGAAAATAGAGGGAGAAACCTTGGAGGCCGTGACAGACTTTGTATTTCTAGGTGCAAAGATTACTGCAGATGCAGACTGTAGCCAGGAAATCAGAAGACGCTTACTTATTGGGAGGAGAGCAATGTCCAGTCTCAATAAAATAGTGAAGAGTAGAGACATCAGACTGGCAACAAAGATCCGCCTAGTCAAAGCCATGGTATTCCCTGTAGTAACCTACGGATGTGAGAGCTGGACCTTAGGGAAGGCTGAGCGAAGGAATATCGATGCTTTTGAGCTGTGGTGTTGGAGGAAAGTTCTGAGAGTGCCTTGGACTGCGAGAAGATCCAACCAGTCCATACTTCAGGAAATAAAGCCCGACTGCTCATTGGAGGGAAGGATATTAGAGGCAAAAATGAAGTACTTTGGCCACATCATGAGAAGACAGGAAAGCTTAGAGAAGACAATGATGCTGGGGAAAATGGAAGGAAAAAGGAAGAGAGGGGCCGACCAAGGGCAAGATGGATGGATGGCATCCTTGAAGTGACTGGACTGACCTTGAGGGAGCTGGGGGTGGTAACGGCCGACAGGGAGCTCATGAAGAGTCGGAGACGACTGAACGAATGAACAACAACAAAATATATTGCTATATTATTTTTATTTTTCCTAAATTTATAATTTTCTTTTTGGTGAAAAAGCAGTAGTGGAGGAAGTGCATCAATGTCTTTCCATTACACCAGGAGTGATCAAAAGCCAGCTTGTGGGCAGAGTGTAACTCTTCTCCGGAATTGGGACGAAATGCTGAAGCAACCCCACAGCTTTGGTACTGTGGACAGGAGAATGGGATTCAATCTGGACCAGTGTGTTGTCCACGTGGGCCATTACTGCCATTCACTTTTCCCTGCATTCATCAACATAGGTCAAGGGGACAGGTCAGGGCCATGCCATTGCTTCTTCTTCTTGGTCACATGGGCACCTCTGCTGATGTCAGCACAGGGCACCTGTGATGGCCAGGAGCTCTCACAGAACTCTGGCCATCTAGCAGCATCAACAGCAATAAAGACAGCAAGGTGTCTATAGACACCTCCAAGGTCATGTGGCCAGCATGACTGCATGGAGCGTCGTTACCTTCCTGCAGAAGTGGTACCTATTGATCTACTCACATTTGCATATTTTCAAACTGCTAGGTTGGCAGAAGCTAGGCCTTACAGTGGGAGCTCATCCCACTCCCCAAATTTCCCTTACGAGAGGTAAATTGCTCTCACTTCCTGTTGTCTCACCCCCATTCTTAACTATGAGTCATTTGTAAGTCAGATGTTTGTAACTTGGGAGCTGCCATACTTTTTAAAAAATGTTGGCTGCAGTAGGGCTGCTTTGAAATACTCCCTGCAAAATAATAGCATCAAGAGATCAAATTGATGCTGTAGAAGTTATATTGTTAGGAAGCATTCAAAATAATAGCTAAATTACTTTCCTGTTGATGCTGGAAATGTGCTGTCTAAGGCCCAATTTTCAGCCTGCTTTCTTGCAATTATCTCAGTACAGCCCTGCTGTTATCACGGTTTCTGGCATTGGACAGGAAACCTTACAATGGAAATGAGGAAGTTTCTGTTATGTAGGTCAAGGCCCAATTTAGTCTTAAGGTGTGTTCCTTGAAAGGCCTCATATATTTAGAAAGCAGCCATTTTACAAACGAAATCTGTTTGTGAAAATTCTGTGATAAATAATCCATAGTTTTCATATGCTAACATAATTGAAGTTAATAAGCTTCCTGTTTATACTCAGTGTAAACATTCTTTTGTAGTTGCAAACATTATTTGTATTCATTTGAATTCTTGCTGGTTGTTTTAATTTTTGTGCTGTTCTGAGTCATTATGTGCCTTTCATATACCTGCTGAAACCAGTGGGACTTAAACTTATATATAGAAAATTTTGTGTCCAGTAGAGTCAGAGAGACTTCAAGGACAACACACAAACACACATATAAATGCTAAGAAGTAAATTTTATTGAATTTAGTGGGTCTTACTGCTCAGTAATGTGTACAATTGTAGCTAATCTTGTCGGGACACAGACGCCTTAAAGGGCCAGACTCAGAGTTTAGTTCTAAAACAGAGTTTATTAAACAAAGGAATGAGACTCAGAGACACGTAACTCAGTGCCTCTGGCCAAAACTCAAAAGTAAAACCAGTCCTGGTTCAAAAAACGTGAGTACAATAATAACCCAGATTATACAGAGAAAAGAACCAGATTAAGCAAAAGCACAGCAAAAGTCACACAAAACAACTCAACGTGCAGACTGTAACAAAACAAAGAAGCCGCAAGGAAGAAAGCATGGTCAAGCGAAGTCCAGGGTCGTAGCAAGCAGAATCCAAAGTAGCGAAGTTCCAAAAGCAGCGTCATCGTCAAACCGGTTCGAAGTCAAAGAAGGGGAAATCCACACTCACGAGAATCCAAGCCGAGTCGAAGCACACACGAACGGAAACAGCAAACTGTAGATCCAGGACCCAATGCCAACACGAAACAGGCAGCGACAAGAGCCCAATGCATGAACGTACCAATACCTTGCCTTCTGCAAACATTCCCCATTTCAGAGCCTACTTTTATTTTACACATCATCATCAGAAGATGAGCTGACCTCCGCCCCGTCCTTATCCCTTGCAGCTGCTCTTGATTCCACGCGTGAACTCTGACTCCCATCTCTCCAACTTCTCCATCTTCTGTCAAGACTTAGATCTCCCCAAGACTCAGATGTATTCCCCGATTGCCAATCCTCATTACCAGAAAACCCCACAAATGTATCACTAGACGTCGGATCCACATATACAGCTTGTACCTCCTTTACCTTAGTCCAGTCCAATGTGTCATCCCCATCTCCATCACTCTCCAACCCATCACTCCCAGAGAAACGCGCAAATGACTCTTCATCTGTGGCAGCAGTAAGTATATCCCGGATCCTTTTCCTTTGTGGTTCCTCATCTGACTCCTGTTGGTCTTCAGTCCTGTCGGTCTTCAGTCCTGCCGGCACTGGGGTTTAACCCACTGCACCACCGGGGTCGCAGGTTCGAATCCGGGGAGAGGCGGATGAGCTCCCTCTATCAGCTCTAGCTCCTCATGCAGGGAGATGAGAGAAGCCTCCCACAAGGATGATAAAAACATCAACTCATCCAGGCGTCCCCTGGGCAGTGTCCTTGCAGACGGCCAATTCTCTCATACCAGAAGCGACACAACAACAACAAAAATCTGACTCCTGCTCAAGAGTAACTCTCTTTGTTCCCCTATTCCCATCCATTGTATCTCCTTCCTCTCCCTCGCTCATTGACCCTTCGTCTCCGGAGAACCCCTCGAATGTGTCCTCATCCTTTGTTGTTCCTCATCAGACTCCTGCTCACGAGTACCCCCTTTTCCCCTTCTGGCGCCCATACTACTGCTTGCAACGTTACTTACAGGCTCTGCTACAACTTTGGTTGCTTGCTTGATAGAAACCAATATGACTAACAATTATGTTTTCTCTCTGTGTGTGTGTTGCATTATGGCACTAGGAATCTGTTCTCATTTTTGCTGTTTTGATTTTGTTTGTTCAGCTTACAAATCTGGAAAGGAAGTGGCAGCATCTTGAACAAAATAATTTTGTCATGAAAGAATGTATCCTTTTTTTATCAAAAAGAGGTGTAAAAATATTATTTCTATAATAATTAGTTTAAATGATTTTTAAATGCTTTGACCTGGAGTTTGTCAGGAGTGTAAGCATGTAAAGGAAGACATAGGAGAAGTACTAGAAATGTCATTTTGCCATAAGAGAGTTTTATTGCTGGCGATATTGCTTTGGTCCACTGTCTCAACAAATCAAGTAAGACTGCAGGTTGATAGAGGAATAGTATAGTCCTCTTATGCACAAAATAGAGATGTGAATTTCTTTTTTGTTGCATGAATCATGGATCAATATGCTTAGTGATGGTTAAATATTATGTATGACTTTCATTCTGAAACATCAGTTTGTATTACATTCTATTGGGTTTTTTCTTCTGAGTGAATATAGTTAAGATGAGGCTACCTGTCCCTTATTCCAAATATTGATATTGGCATGTGTTAAACACTTAAATCACCCATAGATTTCAGTAATAAACTAAAGCAAATCTTTACATTTCTGCTATTACCAGTTTTACTCTTATCCTAGTAGATGTGACATCATCATTATTTTATTTCTTATTCGCCTCTCCTTGAGGCGAGGCACAACACAATTAAAACACTTCATCATAAAACATTATGTAAAATATCTATATTAATGTATTTCTATTAAATTCATACATTAAATACAAGACAGTAGTTTAAAATTCATAATTAAAATTGTATAATAATAATTTTAATAACCCATTTTAATAACCCAGAATTAAATTTTGCTGTAGAATTCACACAGAACAAACCTGCAATGGTAGTTATTTTATGATATTGTCACTTAAAATTTTTAAACAATATCCAGCTCTCTACCATGTAAGGTAAAGGTTTCCCCTGACATTAAGTCTAGTCATATCTGACTCTGGGGGATAGTGCTCATCTCTATTTCTAAGCCGAAGAGCTGGCGTTGTCCATAGACGCCTCCTAAGTCATGTTGCCAGCATGACTGCATGGAGTGACGTTACCTTCCCGCAGAAGCGGTACCTATTAATCTACTCATATTTGCATTGTTTTCAAACTTCTAGGTTGGCAGAAGCTGAGGCTGAGAGCAGGAGCTCACCCCTATCCCCAGATTTGAACCACTGACCTTTTGGTCAGCAAATTCAGCAGCTCAGAGGTTTAACTCACTGCACCACTGGGGGCGTCTCCTACCATGTACACATTTTAATTGGACAAAAGTGGGTACAAGAAATGTATTCCACTTCTGAGATAAGGACACTTTTTGTCCCACATGCTATAACACAGCAGCATCACATGTTGGAGTGAGTGCTCAAATGAAAACAATCTTTCCCTTGGTCAAAAGGTGGAGCAAATACATGCTCACTTGATCCATCCAGAAAGAACCTAGTATTGATACTGCCATGTGAGGCACAGATGGAAAGATCTGGTACAGGCATCCACAAACAGGTCTCTGTAGAGCAGTGGTTCTCAACTGTGAGTCCCCAGATGTTTTGGTCTTTAACTCCCTGTTGCTAAACTGGTTAGGATTTCTGGGATTTGTAGGCCAAAACAGCAGGGGACCCACAGGTTGAGAACCACTTCTATAGAGTTTTCAGAAACTGAAAGTATCTTAGAATCATAGAGTTGAAAAGACCCCAAGGGCCACCCAGTTCACCAGGAAGACATAATTAAAGCACTCCCAACAGATGGTCCTCCAGAGACTCCAACACACTCCAGGATTTCAACTCCCAGAAATCTTCACAGCTGGTAAACTGGCTGGGATTTTTAGGAGTTGTAGTCCAAAACACCTGGGGGCCCACAGGTTAAGAACCACTGGACTTAAAGGAAATGTGGCACACAATCCAGGACACTCCCTCATCTGAGCAATGATGTGCCTGAAGTGATTTTGGAAAATGATATAGATATATAATATATTGGTTGTCGGTAAGATTCTTTTTGGTTATTTACTTATCCATGATTACTTGTCTATGATTATATAACTTCTTCCTTAACTGTCGTCATCAGTTATAGCAACAAAAACCCAAGAAAGTGATTACCGTCCCATCATGAAGAATGTCACAAAACAGATTGCAGAATATAACAAAACCCTCATAGAAGCTTTAGAGAACAACAGGAAATGAACCCAGACTCTTCTTTCATATGTCTGTGGACCATTGAGAGGTTTTATCTAAATGCATTGTGAGCTTTGCAAGAATAGTCTTCAAACTTATGTACGTATGTCCCAGTATTCATGAACCTTTCTTGTTTATATGCACAAAAACCCAGAGACATTACTTTCTTGGAAATTTTACTATGGTTGGATTGATTCCATATTCTCAAAAAATGAATCTTTTAAGATACTTTAGTATCCCTTGTTTTGTCATTGGTTAGTAAGCAATGTGACTTAATAGACGCCATTTTGAAATACACCTTCTGACTGTACCAACAGGTGGAACTTACTTCAGATTTGAGCAGCATAGTAACCTCAGCAACAGAGAATGTTATGCTTATCTGTATGTTTTTATCAGTTTATCTTATTCTATCAGAATTCATTTAATGCAGGGAAGATGAAGTTCAGCTATAGTTTTAGCAAAGTAACAAGCACTGATACCATCTCTAATGGTAAATTATTCAGCATTCTTGTATCCAAAGATTATTATGTCATTCCCCTTCACTTTCAAAGAGATTTGTGTTATAGTCCACTATGAATAAAGATTTCCCTATTACCAAAGTCTAACTTGCAAACAAGGCAGGAAGTAGATGTGGGGAAGAACCAAATGTAAAGAGCTAGTGTTTACTTCTACTAAATTTGGGAGCAGGGAGAGAGAGAGACATTACTAGAATTTGTAAGATTTTAATTGTGTGTGTGTGTGTGTGTGTGTGTGTGTGTGTGTGTATATAAAATATGAGAGAAATGTAAAAGGTCGGAGATTTTGCAACAGTCCGAGGATAATTGGCAGCTATGTAGTTGTATGGAAGCTGCAGCAAATAACAAAAGTGTGTCTTTCTTGTTTTGAAAACAAAAATAAAACTACAGAACCTGTAATTCTGTACCAAAAACAACCAAATAGTTTTATGACAATTCAAAATCTAATAAAAAGTTTATAGCTTTTTAAGGAGACCCTATTTGTTCTGTGCATGTTTTGTTCTGATTGGGTAAAACAATGTGGTCAAAATGAATTGAAATGACAGATCATATAGTACTTCTATTACAGTCAGATCCTGGCACGGATATGTTCATTAACAAGACAATGCTTTGTATGCTTTTTTCTAAATAATTTCCATTAAGTTCAGTTGAGCCTACTCCACAGAGTTCATAGAGTTGCCCCTTTGAACAAGAACTGTGGGGTTTTGAAAAACTCCTGTTACAAGATACAAAAATAAAAGAGAAAGACAGATGTTACGGGAAAGGAAAGGGTGGAGATGGAATGCTGTTTGTAATCGGCAAGAGGGTGGTGCTTCACAGAAGAAGAAAAACCCTCAACAATATAAAACAGTCAGCTCTTTTAAAATGTCCCAATTTCTCCCTGTAAGTGTTTCATTTCCCCCACATCCCACACCCTGTTTTTTGGTTTAGGATTAGATTCCGGGTAACCTTTTCAGACAGTCACTTTCTCCTTCCCCTGGTTACCTTTGCATAATTAATTCAAAAAGAAATTGAATGTAAAATAACTGAGAGTGACAATTACATTATTAACAATTAGATGCTCTGGCCTTTGAAAGTGTATAACATGAAACTGGGTATTTTCTTTAAAATGTTAGGTATTAGCAAATAGTTCCAACTAGATAAATTATTTCCTTTGTATTGTCGAAGGCTTTCATGGCTGGAATCACTGGGTTGTTGTAAGTTTTTCGTACTACATGGCCATGTTCTAGAAGCAATGCCTCCTGACGTATGATGCAGGCGAAACGTCAGGAGAGAATGTTTCTAGAACACGGCCATATAGCCCAAAAAAACCTACAACAACCCAGTATTTCCTTTGTATTTCCTAATGGAATGGCATATGATTCTTTATGTGCCGTGCTTATGGATTTTATCACAGGAAACAGGCAAACTGGCATTGCAGCAAGTTTGCCTCCCCTCTTTGGTACTTGAGTTCTTCCCATCAAAAGCTCACAATCCTGCTATTCTCCCATCACATACCTTAATGTAATGGCCCCTTCCGCTTCTATGCCAGTTTGCCAGCAGTAACGTGATGGAGAACCTGTTCTCCATGCCATCACAAGAGTTCACCTTTATCACAGGCCAAAGCATCCTTTTTCACACTATACAATTATAGCACTGTAATTCCACTTTAACTGCCATGGCAGTATCCTTATGGAATCCGGAGGCACTAGATGTCTAGCTGATAATTCCAGTAGATAAAATGAAATTGTTTTGTAATAGTGGAGTTTGTTTCCAAAAGGTACTAAACCCATCTGAACAAATTTTACAGGAATAAAAAAACATGTTGAAGATATTCTTTTCCCCCCTATAAACTGTAATTTTCCAAGTCCTGTACCAAAGTGATTTGATGCATTCTGATAGTTTTGATTTGTATATAATATTCTATGCTTAGCCAACAATGTGTAGCTACCTGTAACTCGTTTTTCATTTTGGTGGGGATTTTGTACATTTTGGAAACAAATCCAAGCATTGCGTAGTATGCGGTGACTGCTGGTAACCTCATCTTGCAATTCATCAGTTATGGAGAAGAGGGAATTTAATGACTAAATTCACCTCAACACAGCTGCTGAAGCAGCAGGAGCCCTATCCCCTTATGTATCTGGCCATCGCTCTATGTTCCAGAGGAAAGACAAAGTGATGGCAGCTCCATGTAACATCTTTCCATAACATCCTGCTAGAAAAATAATAAACACTTTATAGAAAAGGCAAACATATGTGGAGCTGAATTACAGAAGTGCCAATTTCCTGTGTCTACACACTAAGTCTGCTGCATTTTGTTTTTCATATTACGGTATCTAGATAAGACAAAACAGGATTTCTATAGGCCCGAATCTGTTATCAGGGGAAATTCCCACCAATATCTCTTCCTTCCTTTTGGGGAGAGCTTTTCACAATTCCTCTCTCTTTATCATGAGATAAAGTTGGTTTCTATCATCCTCCCAGGAATTTTTTTTTTTCGTCAGTCACTTGGTTTACCTACCCAAATCCCTCCATGTTAAAGCAACACATTTTGATGAGCAATGGAAATATGCCATATGCTGAATAAACAGAGTGAATGACATTCCCTTTTGCTTTTACATCCCACATCTTATTATGACATGGCAGTAACTGATATGTAGAATAGCATGGGAAAGTTCAAAGGCCTGTGTGCTATTCTTCCCAAGACGTTTATCATAAATAAATCTTGCCCATAAGGTTATATGCTTCTATTTTCTTTCCCACCAATCTTTCTCATTACCTGTAGCTTCAAGTAAAACGTTTGAATAAAGAACTCATTCTAGAACTCACAAAATGTGAGCAGACAAGTGCTCAAGATTATTGCTTTGTCAAGGCAAACTTTTTTTAAAAAAAATTCCACAAATAAGGCCGAACATTTTGTTATTTCACTCAACATTTTGCTTAAGCAAAGCAGTGAAATATTGAATGACATGGCTGGGGTTGCTTATTTCCTCCCCCTTTTTCATTTTTTAGTACTAGTCTTGAAGAGAGAGTATGGTAGCTGCATTAGGGCCGGGCTTTAGCACCGCTGGTAATCACCATCAATGATAAGATTTACCAACCAAAAGGTTGCAAGTTTGAAGTCTCGGGTTAGCATGAGCTCCTGACTGTCAGCCCAGCTTACTGTTTACCTAGTTTAAAAACAGCTTGAGCTGTAAGTTGAGAAATTAGGTGCTGCTAAAACAAGTAGGGGAGGTATTTTATGATACCATAAAGAAAAAGATCAGAAAAATGCCCCATGACCAAAAGGAAAGAGGAAGTCCTGATGGGCCTTCATCATAGAGGATAGACGACAGCACCCCCATGTGGCTGGACTTGAGCACAACCACCAAGGTGCCAAAAAAGCTGGACGTCGACACTACATACCTCTTTTCTGTTCTATCTGTCTATCCAAAACAGCAATGAATGTTTGCCGTGTATGTGTACTGTGATCCAACCTGAGTCCCCATGGGGAAATAGGATGGAATATAAATAAAGTGTTATTATTGCCATCCTATAGTAAATTTACAGGACAGTATTATCTTTGTATGGTTCTGTAGGGTCAGCATATATTAGAACATGTATCAGATGTGGAAGATTTCCACATATCAGATGTGGAAGATTCCCACATAACAGATTCAGGACTGCAGAAAAAAGATGAAAAAAAAATCAAAATAATTACTTTGCGCTAACAAGCTATATGTTAGTTATGGAGTCAATGATAATTCAATTGCTTTGTCCAGAACCTTATAATCTAATGATTTATGTAGTGATTTGCTCTCAGTTCTGTTACATGATTTTCCACTTACTTTAGAACAATGACATAACTTTATGTAACTTTCCTACATTACATTTAGTAGTGGCAGTAATGTTTGATACAAGCAGACCACTCTTTTATGACCCAGGCAACAGTAACGTTTTGGTGGCCAGAGTAACTATCATACCTCAATGTATGACTTGCTGTTATGGTACCCCACTGAATCAGGTCGAGTCATGGATTCATATTGGATTAGTCCCGTTCCTAGAGTGGTTCCAGTTTCCTTCATTAAAAGGTATGGATTAATCTCTCCAAATTGGCAACCCAGATGAGAATTCATGAGCCGACTAGGATGGCCTAGTCATTAGCAAGGTCTGATTTAGTCCATCTCCAACAGCAGATTTTAAAGTACCATAAAAAATTAACAAAACTATTTAAAAGAACACAATTCCTCCTCTGAGTAGAAAGATGTGGGCTGATTACACTGAGATCTATGTAGGTCATCAATGGAGAGCTATTCTACAACCCGGTGATTGATTACATCTGACATCTTCCTGAGTCAATTAATTATGGCCCCATCTACACTGCCATATAATGCAGTTTTGTAATGCAGTTTAACTATTGCACTGCAATATATGAGTCTTGCACTGCAGTATATGCCCCCCCTCCCCCTGGTGGCACAACAGATTAAACCGCTGAGCTACTGAAGTTGCTGACTGAATGGTTGGCAGTTTTAATCCGGGGAGCCAGGTGAGCTTCCACTGTTAGGCAGAGCTTCTGCCAACCTAGCAGTTTGAAAGCATACAAATGTGAGTAGATCAATAGGTACCACTTCTGCTCTATGCAGTCATGCTGGCCACATGACCTTGGAGGCTTAGAAATGGAGATGAGCACCACCCCCCAGAGTCGGACACAACTAAACTTAATGTCAACTTTACCTTTTATATGAGTTTACACCAGGCATGGGCAAATTTTGGCCTCAATCTGTTTAACTCTCAGAAATCCCAGCTATATTATCAGCTATTGAAGTCCAAAACAGATGGAGGACCAAAGTTTGCCCATGCCTGGTCTACATTGTCATATAATGCAGTTCAATACAGTTTAACTGCATTATGAAACTGCGTTAAATGGCAATGGAGATGGGGCCTATGTTACATATGGCTGATAGCAGTTGAATTCCAATAACATCAAGGAGCCATAGATTTCGTATTTTTGTTATAGGTGTTATTTGTTGATGCTGATGGTGATATTACAGCCAGAAAACACACTTTTATAGTGAATCTTGCAATGGTTAAAGTGT